TCAGTAGCATCACTCAATGAGTCATAAGTGCATCTCGTTCACGAAAATTAAAACTGCCATTTTTGAAACCAGCAACGAGGGAAATGGCTACAAAAAAACCGCAGTGTTCCCCGAGTTTGACAAAAAGCCACAGACCGAGCAGTAGGTATATTCTTGGCTCAATGTCCACCTTTGTTGTAGCGTTCGTGTTGCATATTAATTACGTTGCAGGATGCCCAGACGCATTGCTATGGCAACAAGCGCGCACACTGGGTTGTAATGGAAAACCAGTCGATCCGAGTCGTAGCGATCTGTGGCAAGTAGATCAGAGTATCTACTAATGCAAAAAGGGCTTATGTGATACAGTTAGACCACACACAAAAGATGCTACACTAGACCAGACGTGCAAGAAATCTAATAAATCTCACAAAGGTTTGTGTTGATGATGATTGACATTCACTTTATAAGGTATACCTTCAGCGAGGTGCTGGAAACATTCCTCAGACATTTTCGTCTGTTTCGAAATGATTCCCTGACATCCCAGAGGTGCTGTATTGGATTGTGATCTCTGATCTCTCGTCAGCAGGTCATCTTCGCCATGTCTAAAAAGCTAAATGTTGCTGCCATTTGGCTGATTAGATATTTGCCTTATACAGCGCTTAACCAGGTGTACTTAATAAAGTGGCCACTAGAGTGTACACCAGTGAGAAATGGACCTTAATTTGCAAAAGTGAACTTAGTTTACACAAGTTTTTTATTACTGTTGCCTGTTCAGGTTGATATCAGCACGTTGCAGATTGAACATAAATCCATCCTGTTCTCTTTTTTAACTCCACAGAGAGGCAGTGGAGCATTTCCTTGAAGCTTTATCTCTCCAGCGCCAGGCTATAGAGGATGGAGCGAGAGCTCCAAGGGGTCCCGGAGGAGCTGCGGCCACTATGATGTCCGACAATATCTGGTCCACCCTGCGCATGGCTCTCAGCATGATGGGAGAGAGCTCCCTGTACGCCGCGGCCGACAGGCGAGACTTGGACACCTTGATGGCTCATTTCTGCCAGAGAGAGGTGGATGGTGGGACTGAATGAAAACCTGCCAGGAGAGGGCTCATTGAGTGTGAATGTTTTTTGCTGGGAGGTAAATGTATGAGTGACTGAATGAAGCTGATTGAATGGAGGAATGAAGGGGACATGGTACAGCTAACGGTTAAAAGAAGATGATCGAGGAACACACTGTGAAGTGATCAAAGTGCTCATCATCATCATCATCATCATCATCATGTGTACATGTGTGTTTAAAAGTGTTGCAGTATCAGGCTTCACCTGTAGAGAAGCAGGCAGCAGTAATCCAGTCACGAACTGTTTCACACGTTCAGCAGTCACTGGATTTCCTCCTTTGTTGATCAAGAGAACCAGACTGAATGATTTTAACTTGAAAATCTTTCTCAGAGAAGAAGAGAAGCAAGAATAAACATGGTTTAATCACTAATCTGTTCACCATCCAGCAATGTTAGTTTGTGTTAAGACACTCAGTCCTCTCCCTGTCTTTATTCACAGTTTGGTGGCCTCTGAGTTTATTATTACTGTGTTGATGTTGTTCCTACAGCATCTCGTTAACTTTGCTTCAGGACCACCATTGCAACCGGACAATCACATTGTTGTATTCGCTTTACAACTTTGGAACAAGATGTACACAAGAGTCTGGTAGGGACAACGCTGTGGTTCATGAATGGGTGAAACATAAGACTTTCACCCAGGAGACTGAGGCTTGTAGTCCTTGTTCATTTGAGACTTAGTTGACTGCTTTTCATTTTGAAAAGTATTTACTTCAGTCACTTTGGTTAGGTGTATAAAATGATCATATTAGAACTTAGTGAAGGCAAGCATCTTTTTTTCCCCTCCCCCCTCAGGTGCAAAGCTAAGCTAGTGTTTTGTACACTACAAACCCTGTTTTATCAATTCACATGCCTCTTCATACAAAGGACTGGATGAGCCAGGGGTCTAACCAGGCCTTCCAATTCGCAGACGACCCGCTCTACCTCCAGAGCTGCAACCATCCCTGATTGCAACGGTGTGATTGATCAGTGATGGTCCTGATGGTGGAACAACACAGCAATTATCAGATGTGTGTACTCTCTGCGGTTATGTATAATCAAGGTACAAGACCTCTGACATTAAAGAGTGCTGCTTATGATCCAAGGTGCTCAGCAGGCGGAAGGATTACAGATTATGCCATTGTAAAGTAGAAATACAAGTCATAAGTGCTACAGCTCTTTTTGTTATACTTTATTTAATTTTTTAGTAATCATTATCATGCCAGGATAATGAACTGATAACCAGCGGGACTGTTACTCAAATGATAAGGTGTGTGTGTGTGTGTGTGTGTGTGTGTGTGGGTCGGGTGAGAGACATTATGTCAATGAGAGTGGCTTTTCTGGGTTCCTGTGCTCTTTTTCATATTGCTCCTGTAAAACTACTTGCTTCATTGTAAAATAATGCTCTATGCCATACTGTGTATTGTAACATAATTGATGCACTATAATTGTTTTCAGGCTACTTATATCCTGACAGCAATGTTTAATATAATATTCAGCAATAAAAGCTTTGATTCCAGACATCTGTTATTATCCTTTTATTTCAATTTGGACCCCCTCTTGTTGGTATATGGGTTGTTTCATGGTCCTATCGACTAATTTGCAATTTAAATGTTTAGACTAAATTAGATTTTCATATTATAGAGCAAGATGGTTTTATCAAAATGTCAGCTCTAAGAAGTGGGAAGACTTGCCAAATCAGCAGGGCATTGCATTTAAAGTTTCCTCAGAGTTAATAATAAGGATTTTAATTTGTTTAACACGTTTTTTGTTTTTGTGAGTAATGCAAAATTATTAAAACTTGTGAAATACAAAATGCTGTGGCTTGGGAGGTAGTGCAGGTCATCTGGTCTACAAGTTTAAGGATCTTCATGCAAGATACTGATCCCTGAGTGGGCCTGATGCACACTGGAGTGTGTGCTAATGTTAGTTTAAAAGTGCTTATGCATAGAAACAGTTTGCATGAATTGGTGAATGAGCCTTGTAATAAAGTGCTTTGAGTGCTCAGCACTTAATGAAGAACAGTTAATTTACCAAAAAGTGATTTTATTTTATTTTATTTATTTATTTTTGGGGGGGGAATTCTATAATTTTTGTAGTGGTTTGGTTTTTTGGTTGTTTTTTTTAGTGCATACACTTAACAACCACTTGATTAGGTACACTTGCAGACTCTTAATATCTTCAGAGCTCATACCAATGACGTTGGCTCATTCATTTAGGTTTTTGTTGAGGTTGTCAGGAAAAGTAACCTGATTTCATGATTACTTGCATTACATTTAATTCAGTTCCTATGTTTGTTTGTTTGTTTGTTTTAATCCACGTCCCTAACATACAGGTACTCAAAGTAAAAAATCTAAATTTAAATGCTTTAAAAAATTTATGCTAAATCTATCTGGAAATCTGAAGGGTTATAGCAAGCATTGTTTTTACCTTTGACTATCATTATTATATATGCGCAGATTTTATTCATTTTCACTAAATGCGAACTCGCTATTCATGTTTAATGTTTTATTTATTCTTGGCACACTCCGGCCTCCATACTTACTTTAACAAGTCATATTCAAAAGAAAACTCGTAACTCGTGTTTCCGGAGCTTTCCCAACGCAATAATTCATTTTCTCCCACAAGTGAAAAACAAAACGTTTCCTTAAGTTATCAGCAGCCCACCCCGCCCTCTTTTAAACTTCGCATTCCTCTAGGCCAATCAGAATCGAGAAGGCGAAGTGCAAGAGAAAGTTGATTGGTTCATTTAAAAATAACATAAGCGCAACCACGCCATTTAAATGTTTTAAAAGTCGTGTGTTCCTCCTGTTGATCTGAAGTGTGGAATAGGAGAAAGGCGGATAAACTATACGCTTGGTCCACTGTATTTGTCGTTTTTTCAGGTGAGTAGTGAAATAAATGACACGTCCGAATGATGTAGACCGAGTTTGTGTTCATTTCTTTTGCTCTACTTTAAACGGTTAACGGTGCAGTCACGTGAAACTGCAACATTTAGCTAACATACGTAGATGTGAATATGGTTTCCAGCTCTGTAAATGTCATACAAATTGTCCATAGTGACAGATATAGTAGTAAAGTCGTGTTTAAGATGAGCTACGATTTTTTTTGTATTTAAAAACTAACGTTAACTTTAAGTCACGAGCACTAATCTATCAGCTAATAAGCTAAAATACAATGTTTAACAACAGGTTATTTATGCCTTGTCAAGCATTCGTTTTTACCGTTGTGTGATTGTAAGAATGAAGAATACACCAAGAAACGAGCCTTTCAATGTATTGATGAATGAGAATAATACATAGTTTTATTGTATTTCATCTAAATATGTGTACATCTGTGTTTTGTATTTTTGCTGTGTTTTTATGTTATGAATAAATAAATGAATAGAACTCTGTTTACCTGAATGGCAGGTAACATTTAAAAAAGGATCATGGGATCAAGTGAGAGTAAGATGACTGCATCTGCAGCCATAAAACCAGAGCCAGCCTTCAAAAAGACTCACATCAGTCACCTCATCGATCCTCGCTCCCCCTCAGCTGGCATAGAACGAACACCTATTCAGGTGGGTTACCTGGTGGATCCATTCATATATTTTAAAAAAAACCACACAGTCTGGAAAAAAATGTACTGTCTGAACTCCAGAAAATGTGCAGTCATTCTTTTTTATTAATGAAGGCATGAACATTTTTACTTTGATCTTGAGGCCCTCTGATCCAAACTCTCTTCTGTACTCACATTTCAAAGACTTTGAAAAGCTTCTTGTTTGATCAGTGTGATATGTCCAAACTATAGAAGGTGTGAGGGGAACAAATGAGACTTTTCACATGCGCTTATACTCCATCTTTCCCAGATGGTGTGGATGAGTCTAGAAAGTTCACCCAAAATCCACATTTTGAAGTTTTCTCCAGTAAAGTATCAGAAAATAGATCCAAGATATCATTGCTTGTCGTTGATCCTTTGTGTAATAAACACAAAGCTGGTGCAGTTTAGCTGCTAAACTTGCATGTCACAACATGCAAGTTTAAAAAATTACCCTCTGATGGGGAATAGGTGGGAGGCACTGATAATTATTGACCCTGCTTTATTCTCTATACTACTTTTGTAAACTGTGGGGCAATCAAACATAAAATAATTGAATATTTTTGCAAGGTTGGGCAGCTTGTGTCCAAAACGTCCGCTGAGATGAAAAGCGAGTGCCCTGTGGTGTTCGGTGATCCACGTTCACCTACCATTGGCATTACCCGCACCCCTGTGAGAGAAGTTATGAGAGGTAAGTAATATATAAACGTAATAACTTTCAGCTTGACTTTTCTCACTTTATTGAAAAAAAACCAAACAAATCTAAAAAAAAATGACTTCCTTTCATTCATCTTTCCAGCAACAGTCGGGTCCTTTGCTCGTCGCCTGGGTATGATTTTCCACAGTGAGGTTGAAGGGAAACTCCCCGAAGGCCGTCAGAAAGGCTTCAGTGGCGCATCAAAGAAAGAGGAGGACTTTATAAGTGAAGAGCTGGCATCGACTGAGCCCCTCCTGAGCCCACAGCCGTCCAGCAACCTTAATGAGCATGCTAACTTACTGGTGCCACCTGTCCAGCCCCCTCTCCAGAGCGTAGAGAAATTGAGTCCTTTTGTGCTTCCTGAAGAGCCTCAGGTGGAGGTGGAGATAGAAACTGAAGCAGATATTAGCCTGGAGGAGGCTGAGGAAGCAAGAGAGTCTCCTCTTCACAAGAGACTGAGCATGAGCCTGATAACCTGCCATGAGGGCGCTCCCTCCCCCCGAGCCTTTGCAGAGGTCCATCATGAAAATATTTCATCCCCAGAACCTGGCACAGAGGTGGAGCCACTTGGGGATGGTGTGGATCACGCTTACGCCCTTCCTTCTGCTACCATTGAAGCAGACTCTCCTGTTGAACCTGCCCCCTCCAACACTGATGCTGATGATTCCCTTGCACAGCCAGAGAAGGAAGAAACTAAAGAGCTCGCTAAAGAAGCTAATTTGCTTCCATCCGGTCCACCATGTGTTCGTGGTCCTGAGCAGCCACAGGCTTGCACCGGCATCCGCTGCCCCACCTTTGACTCAAAGAGCCCCAGCCAGACTGTTTTCAAACCGCAGTGGCTGGGAAATGGCTTTCGTCCGTCTGGGCTCAGAGCAAGAGGAGTGCAGGGGCTCGGTGGAAAAGGAGGCTCGTCTCCTCTCGCCGTCCGTGTGGCCGTTAAGAACGTAGCCAACGAAAACAAAGGACAGTCTGGAAAACTGAAGCAGAAAGGTGTGTAGGAAGTTTGTCACCTTTTGATTGTTTATGGTGAGACTGTTCTGCTTTTCCTTTTTTAAACTTTCTTTTTCTTCAGGTACTGAAGGCCGCTCTCCGCTGCAGATCCTCAAGAAGACCAACTCGCCCAGAGACCAGCGCGCTCAGGTATTTGTAGCTGTAATTTACCCACATATGGGCTCATGAAAGCAACATCTGTGTTTTTACTTGTCCAAAAACACAGGAAATTCACGTTTTGATTTCTTCCCAGATGAAGCTGAAGACGTCCACTCCCGACAAGCAGAGGGCTGGACAGATGGATCGCCGAGTGCTGGCTGTGTGTCTGGATAAGGAGAACCGATGAGGCACTGCACACACTGTTTTTAAAATGTGCTTTTATGTGTATAGCTTCCACAAACTATTTGTTGTCCTGTATATATTTAACTGCTTGTTGTTGTGTAAATAAAATTTGCAAACCTACTAGAGCTTTAAATTTTTACTGATTAACTCTTATCTGTTATTTGGAGAGTTTTCTTGTTCGTTTTTGTGCGCATTTAATCTTCGTCAACACCTAAATTATATTCAGAAATAACACTTGAAATTTAATATTTCTCCAGTTTGCAAAGATTGCATAGCTCACATGTCATTGAACTGACAAAGCGTCCTTGGGCAATGGTGAACACTTCGTTGCCCTTGCCTATCAGAGTGTGAGTGTAAAGTGTCTTTTCTATACCCAAGGCATGCTTTGAGTGAAGAAAAAGCACCATGTAGCTACCAGTTCATTCAGCAGGTTACCTGGATGTCTGCTGAGTTGCTGTCATGTGATTGGCTGTTTGACATTTGCACTAGCGAGCACTATAGCAGGTGTACCTAATAAAATCTTAGGAAAAACAGACATTTTAGCATTAATTAGATGTAGCCCTTTTTTTTAAAAGTTTTTACATTTATTCATTTTTACTTTTTTGTCACAAGGAAACAACAGAAGAGAGAAGGGTGTGGAAAGAGTAACAGGAAATAAATAAACAGCACAGTAGTAAACAGTCTTTCTATACTCTAAATGTTTGACTTACAGGCAGATCATGTGGCCAGCCGATGATCTGTTCTTGGAGAAGCAGCTCCTATTTATGGTCTTTTTACATGCAATGTTCAAAAGGGAGGAATATCGTCATATTGAATCGTGCCACTAGGTATCAGTCCCAAAAGCGTCACTGGGATCCTTGAAAATATCACAACCAAACATGTCCTCTAAAGTGTTTAGTGTCAACATTATTAAAGTCCATTGGCATGCTCGTAGTTTTGTACATGAACTGCTGTGACTGCACACTTCTACACAGTTTGTCCAGGGGTATATTTGTATGATGTGTACCTTCAATCGCTCCATCATCTTCTGGTGAAATTCCCTTTTGAATCTCTGTATTATAATTAATGTATTATAACTTGATAGAGAACTTGTGTTTTGGAGATATTCACATGTACATGAGTATGGGCGGAGTTAAATCTGGATGATAAGATCATCTGTGAGTAATGCCATTATATGGTTCTCCTTAGCTATTAGTTCCTATGAGTCAAGGCCTCTGTGAATATTCCATAAAGGGGTGAGCTGAGGCAACAACCCTGCATCTGTCTGACAGGTGATCTTTATTCTAGCATTTTTACCTGAGGCTATATCATCCTCATTTTTTTTATGATTAATTTTAATTGATAATATGGGGATAAAAGAGGTTGGTCAAGGTGAAGGTTTTACAGTGTGGATGGGAGTGAGGCTGATTGAAGCAGTTTGCACTTTCACCTCACAGTAAGAGGGTCCCTGGTTTGAGCTCCAACTGGTGGATCTCTATGTGGGGGTTGCTTGCTCTTCCTGCGTCTGTGTGTGCTTCCTCTGGGTTCTCCTGGCTTCCTCCCACAGTCCAAAGACATATATGTTAGGTTAGTTGGTGTTTTTAAATTAGCTGGACGCAATATGTGAGATAGATGAAGAGCAGATTTTTAAAGATCTGCTCATTTATAAAATCAATCAGGGTTTGTTTAGCATGCAGCTGTGTGTAAAAAGCCTGCAAGGCTTCACATCTGAGCTTGTTAAATGCACAAAGAGCCTGTTTATCCTTAAGAGAAACTACATTCTTATGCTTTTGTCTAGACGACTCAAGTCACGCTACAAATAAATGCTCACATTTTCTCTACAGTGAAATCAAAGAAAACAGAAGCGTGGCTGACATTTCACATGCTTCACTCGCATCTAGAAGGATTTGAATGCCAGAAATAAACATTTAGACTTGTGTAATGCAGATCTTTATTAGATAGTGCTGCTTCACTTTGTACAGTGTGTATCCACTCTGGAAAAGAGCCCGTTTAAATTAGAGTTAGATTGTTTTTTTCATTTTTATATACACAACCTGTCCTTCAAGTTTAAAGGTTTGCATGCAGAGGAAAAGTAAGCACTTATATACACATTCAGATGTACTACTCATAAGCACGGCAGCCATTACCATCCATGTACCACTCATACAAAGAGTCCTGTCCTGAGACAAATGGGTCATCTTTTTATGTAAGTGCTTAGCGAAGCATGAAAATCATTTTATTATCCCATCTGTCAGTTCAGCAGTTTACCCAAAGGACTTTTCAGGTCTAGCTACCGAGGGGTTAGGCCGAGTGATGAGACCCGAAATCCTGGTAAATATTGTCCATCGATCACATACAAAAACACACGCTAATGCAGACATCTCTGCAAGCTAGAACTCCATTTTAACTAAAGTTAAGAAAATGAACAGGAAGTAAATGTAAGCATCTAGAGAATCTACCAAAAGTAACAACAAACAACAGTCTGAAACAATAAAGCTCATATTATTTATATGATTTAACTTATGCTATGATAGAAATCACAGCATGTTAGTAAGTTACCCAACACAACATATGCTTCGGCTGGACGTATTCAATTCTATCTCATCCTGTGTGCTACCGTTTCCATTTGGCAACTGTTCTCAAATTGCTGTAATTAATGTGCATCCATGTGAACCACAGTAGAATTAACTACTGATGGGAATGACATTTGCTCAGACCCCCGAACCCAGAATTCCCCCATAACGTGAGAAGAAAGTTTGGAGCGCAACGTGATGGAGAGGGGAGAAAATCTTCACATTACAACCCCGCTCCACCGTTAGATAGGACTTGGCACAATTTGACATACCCTCTTCTCACCCCATGTGACTCCTCATCCCCTCCCACAGACCTCAATTTCTTTATATTTTCTTCACTTCACTAAGTGCTCTCTTTGCAATGAACAGCCTCAGTTCCAGATCTTGAGGAAGCTGTCCCAGGATCCCGTGCAGCACGCCATGCCATCCGTGGATACTCCGATGCAGCTCACTCTGTTGTCGTGACCAGCCAGCACACCTGAACAGCAGCAAGCAGGGAAATAAATGAGACAAAGGGTCAAACATTTTGAAATAAACTTCCAATTCAGATTTATCTCCCAGTTTTTTCTTTTAGTTCACTTATGTGCAAAACTAAACTTTACAAGGAAATGTAACTAAAAGAATATTGTGTGCTTGTAAAACTAATAATAGACGGAAAAAGTAGTTTTAGTCTTTCTTGTTTGGTCAGATTTGTCCAGCAGCATTAAGAGGAGTTGGTGCAAATATTTATTGTCCCTGGGGTGTATATGGGACTGTGTGTCAGGTGTTTGTGTTGCATTATATTACTGTATTGAAACCACAATGACAGAAAGAAGAGAGCAAACTCACTCTGGAAACTAAGTGAAAGGAATATAGCAGAAAAAAGATGGAGAAAAAAAAGTCGAATAGCTCGGTTCCTCACCGACTCTCTCGGCTTTGAGCGAGTCCCAGATGTTGACGTTGAAGTCGTCGTAGCCAGCCAGTATCAGGCGTCCAGACAGGGAGGGGGCCAGAGAGGTCACCCCGCACATGATGCTGCTGTCCTGGTAGGTGATGAGCTCCTGGTCAGCTCGCATGTCGTACATCTTGCAGGTGGCGTCATCTGATCCTGTTATCACTGCATTACCGTTGGGGAAGAACTGGAGGAAATAGAAGTGGTTAGAAAGCGTGCCTCCTTGGACAGGACGCGCTGAGAGCTTTGCACACAATGGAAAAGGAAATCTTTTTTTCCCCCTTTGTTCTCACCCCAATGGCGTTGATGTCACTCTCGTGACCTCCAAAGGTCTGTCTGCAGGTGCCCTCCCTGATGTCCCACAGCTTAGCTGTGAAGTCACAAGCCCCTGAGATGAAAAACTTGAAGTCTGGGGACACGCCGAGGGACATGCAGTCTCCCTGGTGTCCGGCAAACACAGTCTTCTGGGTCCCCGTCTCAATGTCCCATAGTACGCTAGAAAGGCAAGTTTAATTCAATTTAAAGTGCAAAAGAATCAATTCAAGCTTTCTTTTGTTCAGTAAATCGAACTATATTCTTACCAAGTGCAGTCGCCTGAGCTGGTGATGATCTCAGTGTCGCTGAGGAAACGACAGCAGGACAGGTAACCTGTACAACCACAGAAATACCACATGGGGCACCGCAGGACTCATCACAAAGGAGCGTTTAATTTCTGTTTCTTGTCACCTTCCTACCTGTGTGCGCTGCCAGCTCTCTCATGACCTTGACATTCCCATCCTTGCCTTTCAGGTTGTAGATGGAGCACATGTTGTCCAGACCGCCACACGCCACAAGGTTTCCAGAAGGTGCATAGGCACAGGTCATCACCCACGATGACTTGAGGGGGATGGCATTCACCTAGGTGTACACAGAGGACAGGAGAGCTTGTTTTCAGCCTCTGAATTTACTGTCGTGTATTTAGTTGTCTCACGAGGGAAATTTAGATCCTGTAACTTTTAAAGGTATGTGCTTAAGTCTTAATGTTTGAGCAAGAGATGCTGAAGGCACAGTGAGAAGTACATTGTGTATTTTGGTGTGTTTGAGAGTGAATACACCCTGCAAGGTTTACAACCACGTTTACTTTGGGTTTAGGTATAGCTGGAAACAAAAATTCCTATTACCGGAATTGTAATAGACCTGCCCTTTGGCCTCTCCTACCTTGTTGGTCGTGATGGTGTCCCACACTATGAGTTTTCCATCCTGCGAGGCACTGACACACAGCCTGGAGGAGAAATGTGGATTAAAATCAGCAAAAAAACCCAAAACAGGTGAAGCAGAGGCTGTAACATTAAGAATATGCTCCCCCCTATCAATTTACTCAGTTTAAAGCAAATCTAATTTACCATCTCCCTTCTGCATATCTGGACTTTTCTCACTTTCCTCACAATTATTTAGAAAATTATTAGAAAACTATCAGATCTTGGCTGCAACACACACACAAAAGCAGGTGTTCTTTCAATTTGTGCAGCATGTTGGGTAATTACTTTGAATCAGTGGACCAGTGCATTGCATAGATCTTGGCAAGATGACCCCTTAGTGTTTTCCTGGTCTTCATCTGGACACGCCCCATCACTGTGATCCCAGCTACTGCCTCCTGC